TAGGGAAGCTCCATGTTTAGCAGTTTGAGGAACCTCCAAACAGTTTTCCATAGTGGTTGTACTAGTTTGCATTCCCTATTATGACTTTGTAATAGAGTTTGAAGTCTTGACATGTTATACCATCGTTCTCCTCAGTTTTAGTCAAATAGCTTAAGCTATTTGAGTTTTTTGGGAACTCCATATGAATTTCATCACTATGTGTTCTATGTCTTTGAAGAATGGTATCAAGATTTTTATTAGAATAGTGCAGATTGGTTTTCATAGTATGGCCACTTTTATAATGTTAATTATTCTAATTCATGAGCAGAGGATGGCTTTCCATTCCTTTGTATTTGCTTTATAAGGTTCTTTGTATAAGTCCTTTTCCTATTTTGTTAGGTTCTACCCAAGTCTTGCAAGTCTTGTTTTTTTGTTTTGTTTTGTTTTGTTTTTTTTCAACTCAAGGGATGGTTTTCTTGATTTCCTCTTTTTCAGATTGTGTATAGGAAGGCTGCTGACTTTTGAGTGTCAATTTTGTATTCTGCTACTTTACTAAACTGGTTGATTGTTTTTATTAGTTTTTCTGTGGAGTTTGTATGTATATTATCATATCATCTGCACATAGTGATAGATTTACTTATTTTTTCCCTATTTAGATCCTTACATGTCTTTCTCCTACCTTATTGCTCTGGCTACGACTTCCAGTATTATATTGAAAGGCAGAGGCGAGAGTGGATGTCTTTGTCTGTGCCCGATCTTAAAGGAAAGGCTTTAACTTTTCACCACTGAGAATAATATTGGCTGTGGATTGGTCATATATGCCTTTTATCATGGTAAGATAAGTTCCTTCTATCTGGAGAATTTTGAGGGCCTTCATCATAAGTGGATGTTTCACTTTGCCGAATGCTATCTCAGCATTTGAAATGATCATGTGATCTTTATTTTTCTTTTTGTTGATGTTTTGGATTGCATTAATTAATTTTCAGACATTGAACCCTGCTTGTGCCTCTGGAATAAATCCCACTGGATTGTGGTGTATTATCCTTTTGATGCATTGTTGGATTCTACTGGGGAGGATTTTGTTGATGATTTTTCTTTCCATCAGTGTTCGTGAGGAAGATTGGCCTGTAGTTTCCTTTTTGTGTGTTATCTTTGTTTGATTTTGGTGTTGGTGCAGTGTTGGCTTCATAGAACACATCTGGTTGTATTGCTTCTTTATTTTTTGGGAAGAGTTTATGGAGGATGGGCACTTATTCATTTCTGAATGTTTCATTTGGGAAGCCATCTGGTCCTCGGCTTTTGTTTTTGGGGTGCGCTCTGATTACTGTTTCAATTTTGCTGTTTGTAATAGGCCTGTTTATGTGTTCTGTTTGTTCCTTATCAAAACTGGATGATTTTATCATTCTAGGAGTTTGTCCATCTCTTCTAGATTGTTGAACTGTTTGCATATATATGTTCATAGTAATCTCTGAGTATTCTTTTGATTTTTAATGAGTTTGATGTAATTTCTCCTCTTTTGTTTATGATCCTGTTTGTGTTTTTTTCTGCTTTTTTTTTTGTAATCCTGGCTAGGGGTTTGTTTATTTTGCTTATTTTTTCAAAACAAAATCTTTTGGTTTTGTTGATCTTTTTGGATTCTTAAAAAATTTCTATTTTATTTATTTCTGGTTTGATTTTTACTATTTGCCTTCCTCTGCTGGTTTTTGGGGTTTTGGTTATTCTTTATCTGGTTCTTTCAGATGGGAGATTAATTTGTTTCTTTAATTCTGTCTTGTTTTTTGATATGTGCTTCTTGTGCTATACACTTTTCTGTTATTACTCTTTTTGTTGTTTCTCATACATCATTGAAATTGGAATCCTCATTGTCCATCAACTCAAAATAGTTTTTAATTATTTCTTTGATCTCTCTTTTTTTTAAGATTTATTTATTTATTCATACAGAACTGGGGTACAAGCCAGAAATGCAGAGGGTGAGAGGATTTACCAGAGACAGAGTGGGGAGCAGAACAGGCAGATGGACGAAGTACACTGCTGAGGGGAACAGCGGGCAGGTCAGGAGAGGTCTGCCACACCATGTGGTAACCTCTGGGGCAGGCGGGGATCGAACTCATGCTGAAGCGGCTTTAGCTTCTTAGTGCTGTGCTTTAACCCGCTGCGCCACCAGGGAGGGCCCTTGATCTAGTCTTTAACCCAGTAGTATGAATTGCAATCCCATGAGATAGGAGGGTTCCTTGTTTTCTTTTCATGATTTATTTCTAGTGTGATATCCTTATGAATGGAGAAGATATTTGGAATGGTTTTGATTTTATGTGTTGATGTTTGTCTTGTAGTCCAGTATGTGGTCAATTCTGGAGAATGATCCGTGTGCACTTGAGAAAAATGCGCATGCAGGCTTTTTCAGGTGCGGTGTTATATAGATATCTGTTAAGCCCATGAGGTCTAGGGCGTTATTTATTTCTCTAGTGTAGCATCTTTGTTTATTTTTGTCTTGTTTATCTGTCCATTTTTGTGACAGGGTATTGAAGTCTCCTACTACATATGTACATATGTATTTTCTCTAATTTGATTTCATATATATGCTCCTTCATTTGGCAAGTGTAAGTTAATGAGTGAATGTTATATCTTCCTGAAATATTATTCTCTTAATCATAATGTAGTGTCTGTCTGTCTCTTTTCACCTTTTTTTAGTTTGAAGTCTGTTGCATCTGATATAAGTATAGCTGTTCTTGCATTCTTTTGTTTTCCATTCGCTTGTAGGACTTTTTTCCAGCATTTTACTTTGTCTATGCTTATCTTTTGTAGCTAAATGTGTTTTCTGAAGACAGAAAATTGAAATTTGTTTTTAATCCTGCCTGCAACTCTGTGTCTTTATGTTGATGGGTTTAGTCCATTTGTATTTAGAGTAAATATTGATACATTGGCATCTGTTTACTGTTTTGCCTTTTTTTTTTTACTCCTTGCTTTATTCTGTTCTTATTCATTCCTGTATTAACTTTGGCTTTAGGACTTTTTATAGATTTTTTTTTTTGGAGCAGAAGTTTAGTCGTAATTGCTCTCTGGAGTTTCTGTTTGTCTGAGAAGGTCCTTATTCTTTCTTCAGAGAGAATGAAGAGCTTAGCAGGGTATAGTATTCTTGGTTGGCATTTGTTGTCCTGGAGTTTGTTGAATATGTCACTCTATTCTCTTCTTGCCCACAGTGCTGTTTTCTTAAGATTTATTTATTTATGTATGCAAGAACTGGGATACAGATCAGAGGTGCAAGAGGGTGAGATGATTCACTAGAGACAGAATGCAGAACAGGAGAATCGACTGAAATACACTCTGAGTGAAGAAGTAGCTGAGACAGGAGAGGTCTGTTCTGCCGTGTGTCAGCCCCTGGCAGGGATTGAATCATGCTGTATTGGCTGTGAATGGCTCATAGTGCTGCCGGTTTACCCTTGCACCAACAGGGCAGCCCAGTGCCACCAGTGTTTCTTCAGGAAGTCTATTACCAACCAACCTCTTTGGTTTTTCTTTCTAGTCTATTTCCCCTCCCTTTTCAAATCCATGAATCCATGATTTTTGTCTTATCTTGGACTCTTGAATACTTTATTTTTTGTCCTTCTGTAGTTTTCCTTTCATTGTTTTAATTTGGCATTCTTCTCACTTCTTGTATGTCTATTTTCATTTCCTCCTTCATATTGGAGAAGTTCTCTTCGAGTATCTCCTTGAGTAGTTTTTTGTTTCCTTAGTCTGTATGCTCTTCTTTGGGGATCCTTATAACTTTTATATTTCCTTTTCTCATTTTGTCAGTTCTCACGGTGTTTCTTCATTCTTCTATTTTGCTTCCTTTATTGGTTCTTTTTATTTCTGGATCTTTTAGATTACTGACTCTGTCTTCCATTTCATCAATTCTGCGTTTGTTGCTTTTCCCAGAATTTTTAGTACCTCCATTAATCATTTCTTATCCTGCGTTTCTTTCATTTCCTTCTTTAGGGTCTAATTACATTCTTCAGCTCATTAATTACTTTTCTCATTTTGTTCTTTTCCTTTCTGTCTTTGTTATGTTTTTGAATCATGATGATTTTAATTTTTCTATGAAAGGCAAAGATTTACTTCAAGGTCATAGGAGGCTGATTTTCTTTTGTGGTGCATCCTTCCCCTAAGAGGTTGCTTGTTTGTATTTTCCCTTACCCCTTTTGTTTGTTTTCTAGTATGTTCCCGGCCCTGGTGCGCTGTATTGCCCATGTGGGCGAATGTCTCTGCGGGATGCCGCTTCTAGGGTGCTGGTGACTGCAGGCCAGACCTAGTCCGGCACTACGACGCCAAAACTCCACGAAGGTAGTGATGCCATGGGTGTGCCTTGTGGATCTGTCCCTGAGGATCCCCTTCCTCTGTCTTTGTTCAGGTCCAGAGGATATTAGTGGGGTCCCTGTCTGCACCCCCCCTCGTAACAGTTGTGCAGGGGCTGTGCCCACTCGCAGTGCTCACTGCTCCCCTGCCGGGAACCTGGCTGTTCCTAGTTCCAAATCACAGGAAAGCACAGGCACACTCCTCACTTGCTTTTCTGCTCTCCTGCTGCCGAGCTTACCCTCCCTTGGTTCCAGAGAGGAGTCCTGAGCTCCCTTTCTTGCAAGTCCCCACCCTCCATTACATCTTTTCTAAATTCTTTAGGCCTCAGTTTTCTCCACTGCAAATGGAAGTTGGACTTTGTGATAGGGCCGTTGTGACATCAGAGAGTCCACACGGAGAAGCAGACTCACTGCCCACCCAGTGGCCACCTGCGGATGCTGATGATGACAACTTAACCATGTTCTCGTTCCTATGACCCAGAAACTCATGGGCCTTCCTTATCTCTCCCTTCAGTAGCTGGGACACTGGCTCAGTTCACATCCCCTCAAGCCAGGTTCATGACTCTGAGTCAGAGAACAGCGAGAAAACGGGGAGGATTTGGGTGAATCACATATTTCTGCTGTGTGAGCACAATGAGGATAGTGTCTTCTCTCCTCATTTATTTGCAGCCTCGCTGTTGTGCTTCCTGTGAGTTTGAGTGAATGTGTGACGATGCACAGCCGCCACCACAGAGTCACAAGGAATGGCATCACTGCCCTCTGAACCCCCTGTGCCCTACCTGTTCACCCCTCCTTCACAACAGCCCCTAAAATCCCTGACATTTTTCCTGTCTGGAATTTCCCCTTTCCCAGAGTATGCCACATTTTCTGACTGATTTCTTTCACTCAGTAATGTGTTCACCTTTACTTTTTATTTTATTTTTGCACAGAACTAGGGTGTAGTCCACAGGTGCAGAGCAGGAGGGGTGAGATGATTTCTTGAGACAGTGGGGAGCAGAGGAGGCAGTTCAGCTGAAAGACATTGCTGAGGGGAGCAGTGTGTGAGAAAGGAGAGGTCTGCTGGGCCAAGTGGGTCAGCTCCCTGGCTGGGAATTGCAAGTGAGGGGAAATCTGAAGAGAAAGCATCTCAGAATAAGGAGACTTTGCATTTGAGGTCTTTGAAACATGTAAACTACACTAGTGACCACCAAAATTATAACAGACTAGGAATGCCTAGGAAAAGTGAGGTAGAAAGAAAATAAAAAACCTTAAAAAAAAAAAAAACTGCAGAAAAAATTGCTGTTCCCACTGTCCTGAGATCCACAGGTTAAAAACCTACCACTCCAAGCCCAGGCACCTACTGCCATGAGGTTTACTAATTTTTCCCAAGCATGAAAATCCCCAAGTTGTCTTTCCACAGTTAGGGGATATGGGAGGTGTCCTGGATAACTGGGAGGCCACGGGGGCAGTCAGGCCCCGAACTGCGAGCTCCTACAAGGCTCAGAGCTACAGGGGACGCTTCTCAAAGTTCTTCCAAGCTAAAGAGACACAGTAGATGAAGAACTCAAAAGTTTTATTTTTCATTATAGCAAAAAGCCAGGCCCCGTCTCCTGGGGCGTCTCTCTGGCGCCCTCCAGTGGCAGATCCCGCAGTCCGTCAGCTTGGACCTCGGGACCCAGCCAGGAGAGTGACCTTCAACCCCCAATCCACCCCTGGCGCCTCAGACCCTCCTGGCTTGTCACCTGCCAAGGATTAGCTAAAAGCATCCACTAAACACTTAAGGCAAAGTCAGGATCTGGGATCACTGGAAACAGGGCAGAGACACTTCCCTAGAACTGAACCCTAGGAGGAGTTGACCTGGCAGGTTCGCTGCGCAGCGTAATGCCAAGGGGGTCCCCATGAATGACATGGCAGTTGGAGAGGAGAGCGGGTCACTGTGCCTCTCACTGAAATCACAGCCTGCGGGTGACTCCTGGGGGAAGTGACAGGACAGCTACAGTAAACAACTTGGGGAGCCCCGGGACACTGTAGAGCACGGGCTGCTCATTCCTGTCTCAGGGGTGTGAAGCTCTGACAGTGGCAATCGGGACTCTCCCTGGCCACCTGGCTCCCTGTCCACGGTGAAGAGACCCGCTCTGGGTGCTTAGCTGGGCAGGGGGATGCAGCCCTCCCTGGGACATGAAGAGGGTGGGACGAAAGGGACCTTCGATTTGTGCTGGGGGTTGTTGGGGGGCACAGGCCAGAGGGGCAGGGGTGGTGGCCCACCAGGACTCAGCCCACCCCCCTGCAGTGCTGCGCTGCTGGCCGGAGACCAAGTTGAGCAAGTAACACCAGTGGCTTGGGATCCCCACGCCTTCCTTTCTCAGTGATGCGCAGTCGTCAGGTTTCTCCTCAGGAAACGCGGCCCAGAGCCTGTCGGTCACCCAGCCTCTGGCAGACACTATTTCAGGGCCAGCACACTGGACAGGCATGTGACCGAAGAGTTCTGTGTTTGAGCTGGGACTGGTCTCTCCAAGGCCTCCCTTTTGTACAGCACGTTAAAGCGCAGCACTGTGAAGCTACCCACAGCCACTGTGCATGAGCTCGATCCCCAGCCAGGGGGTGACCCACATGGCGCAGCTGACCCGCCCGCTGCTCCCCTCAGCACTATATTTCAGTAGAGCTGCCTGTTCTGCTCCCCACTCTGTCTCTGGTGAATCCTCTGGCCCCCCGCACCTCTGCCCTGAACCCCAGTTCTAGCAAGCATAAAGAAATAAATATTTAAAAGAAAATTGTGCCTTACCAGAGACATTTTATGGGGGTGGAGTGGGGAGTGGGATCAAAAATGGGGGTGTGGGTGCACAGAACT